AAATGAGGAATGAATAGAATAGAATGAAATGAGGAATGAATAGAATAGAATGAAATGAGGAATGAATAGAATAGAATGAAATGAGGAATGAATAGAATAAAATGAGGAATGAATAGAATAGAATAAAAAATAAATAAAAATAAAAAAAATACATAAACAATCCCAGAGTTTTGGTAGATCACTTAGAAATGAGTGTATGCTGAATAAAAACACAAAATACTTTTTGATTATGTCCCATCCAGCACTCTTCTGTCCAAAATTAGGCTATATAGATAGTCCTTCACTTACGGCCATTGTTTAGCAACCATCTGAACTTATGATGGCCCTGGAAAAAGTGACTTCCAACCAATCGTTGCATTTATATCGCAGCGTTCCTGTAGTTAGGTGATACTGCAATTTAGGTACCTTACAACCAACATGTATTTGTGGCCGTTGCAACAACCCAGAGTCACCTACTTGCTCTTTGCAACCTTTCTGGCCAGTTTCCGGCAAGCAAAGTCAACGGGCAAACCTGGATTTCTTTAACGGCTACGGCCAAAAAGATGGTAAAATTGGATGCAGTGATAACTCACTTAATGACCATGATGGAAGTCCCAGCTACAATTGTGGTCATTAAGTTGAGGACTTCCTATAGGTTTTTTATTGTTTTCTTAAGGGAGGGAAGATTCAGCTATTATTTCCTCCATGTTGACTGCTACAATCCAGGAAAGAGGCACCACTTCCCATCCCAGCCATACCTGGTCCATTCCTGCTGGCCACGTAGCTGGCAGCCTGCCGGCAGGATTTGCCCCTTCAGCACCCACCAACATCTTGGCCACAGCCAGCCCTGTGGTCTCAGCAGGAAAGAAACAAGCCACGATTGCCCCCACGCCATCCTGTTCCTTGGCCCAGCTGATATCCAGGGGGCCGGCGTTGAACAGGAGCAGAATCACAGGACGGCCGGTGGCTGAAATGAAAGGCCACACCCAGCTCATGAGGAGGAAAAGTTGAGATCTGTGCATCCCTCCTAGGCGATGTTCTCCAGATATGTGGACTACTGTACCCCTCAGCCCCAGCCATCATGCAGAGGGAGAGCCAAAGACTGCTGATGCTGCCTATCACCGCCTAGGTCAGGTGAGCAGAGGACATAATTTCATGAATAAAATCCATGGGTGGCTCCCATGTTTCCCCGAAGAGAGGGTCTTATTTTCGGGGAGGTCTTATTATTTTTGAGGTGCAGGAGGTGGCGAGCATGGTCACCTCATGGCTGCTGCTGTGTTGTGCGTCGCTGGGCCTGCCACTGTTTGTGGGGACCATTAGTGGGATAAAAGGGGCGCGGTGGCTAGGGTTGCGGGAGCAGCCATTACGTAAGGGCGTGAGGGGTGCATGGGGCATGTTTCTCCCCTCCCTTCCCCACCAGCCTTGCCTCCTCACCTCATGTTGTTTGCATGGCAAGCAACCAGAGGAAATGGTGGCGACCGGCTGCACATGCGTTTAAATATTTTCAGGAAGGGCTTATTTTCGGGGGAGGGCTTATTTTAGCACATGCACTCAAAAGCCCGATTGGGCTTATTATCCGGGGAGGTCTTATTTTCAGGGAAACAGGGTAGTAGCAGACACAGGTAACTGAGTCCAAAGGATGCCTCTAGCCTTGCCTTTTCAACCCTGATCCCAAGATCATGCAGCTAATATCTGAGAGTAAACCCCCAATCATTATGATGTAAACGTCTGTGTTTATTGGACCAAGGGGGTATAAAATAGGAATCATGCAACGCTTTTTCTAAAGCAACAATTATTATCAACATTAAAAAGTTTATAATACTGGTTGAGTAAAGCTCAAATCCTACTAACTACAGGGACAGTAGTTATGTAGTTTCCTTATAGTAGGCAACTCCCAGATTGTTCAGCTTCACATTCTACCCTACAACTCTAGAATCTGTGTTGGGTCACCCACCCAAAAACTAACCTGGTCTGATCCTGCTTAGCTTTTTAAGATCAGCCAAGTTCCACTAGAAGCTACCACCCAGTTGGGCCATAATAATTCAACTGGGCCCCAAAATGTGGTCCAAAAAGGCCAAAATGCTGGCCCCATCTCTTCTAGTGATGTCACTCGGATATCTCTAGGCTTCTTGGGAGTCCTCCTCTGGGGAAAGAGACAGATAGACTCACCCCAGGCCACAGATGACTGCAGAAGGTCCAGTTGATGTCCGGGCAAAGACAAGTCCTTGCGGTCATTGGATTCGGACTCCATTTCAGTTCCTGAGGGGAAGGAACAGAGAATGTGTGAAAAGGGCTCCTTGGCTGCTCTGACATTCCAGAGCTATCCAATCTCTCTGGGTGAGAATTTTTCTGGGAAGGTGGTGGTGACTTTTTCCCTGTTGTCTATGGAGATTCTCAACAATCCAGGTCATGATTGTCCCAGAGGTTCTTTTCCAAAAGACAACTGGACTTTCTTGTGTTTTCTCTCTCTTTGAAAACGTTGTGCTTCTCATCTAAGAAGTTCTTCAGTCCTTTAAGGCAGAGGTCCCCAACTTTTCCAGCTTGGCGATCCGCCCTGGGATGTATGGGGTTGTGTGAGTGGCAGGCACATGCGTGTGTGCTCTCCACTCATGCGAGTGGAGCTTCACGCACATACGCTTTTCCATCTCTCTTGTGGCCCAGGCTGATACTGGGCCGTGGCATGGTGGCTGGGGACCAAGATGGGGCCAAGGCTGTCTGGCAGTTCTCAGCTGCCTTTGGAGCTAGACAGCAGTGAGGCAGAGGAATAGCTGGAGTCTGTTCCCAGCGTGCACATGGGCAGAACTGCCGGAAGAAAAGAACAGCTCAGAAATCAGGGTCAAGTTGGGAGTAAAGCCACAGGTGGAAGATGATTGGCCCTCAAGAGAGGAGTGAAAGGGAAGTGGGCTTTGGCAGGAAACAATTTGTTTGTTTGTTTCAGGAGTGTGAAGATCTGTCCGTGAATCTCAGAGACTCTGTGCCAAGTCTTTCCTTGCACATCAACTCATTTGGAAAATATTTACATGGCAGCTTTCCAAGCTAAATAAGATCTGTGGTCATAAATTCACCTTTGAAAGACTGTTT